AACATAGCTTTTTAGTGTTTAACTATTGCCAACAGAGCAGTGAATGTCTTTGTTTATGTCTCTATATTAGTTAGCCTTCTCACTTCTGGAACAAAACACCTGACATTTGTAATTTAATGAAGAGATTTACTTTCACGGTTTCTGAGGTATCAGTCCATGGCAAGCTGACTCCAAAGTAGGAATATCCTAGTGAAAGGGCGTGGTGGAGCCTGGCTGCTCACCTCACAGCAGCCAGGAAGCAGAGCACAGGGAAAAGACCAGAAAGAAAGGTCCAGGGACCAGAGACAGTCCCAAAGGTCGTGTACCCATGACCCATTCAAACACACCTATGACCCACTCAAACGCACCTGTTCAGAATTCTGTTTTATAAATTCAGATGTCTATCAAACCAATCAAGCTAATAATCAAGATTAATTTAGTCTTCTTTTGTGCCTGTGGGAAGTTTCCTGGAGTTACATTCACTGTCAAGAATTTGCACAGCTTTGACATTCCTGATACCACCTGGTGCACTCCCAGCCACCAACTGATTCCCCCACCTAGGAAGAGAGCCCATTTCTCCTCCTCACCAGCAACTATGTTTGCAGACTTAGTCAAATCTGAATGACATAGTTATCTTGTTTTACTTTTTCATCTCTTACCAGTGGAGCTCAGTTAATTCTGGCAGAATTAATGTCATTTGAGCTTTTATGAAGTGACAACTCGTCCTTTGCTTATTAATCTATTGAAGCATATTTTAAAAAATTGATTTGTGAGAAGTCTTGATATATTCTGAATACCATTTATTCTGATGGGCATAGAAATTGCAAGTGTTTTCTACCAGTTAATTGACTTTCTTTTACATTTTGGAGTAAGACTTCGAGGTCTAGTTTATCAATATTTTACTTCATAGTTGTCTTTGTTCCTTGGTTAACAAATCCTTACTAACTCGATTTTATGAAATATACTTTCCAAGGTTTTTTTTCCTAAATGTCATACACATATTACTTTTAACATGGAGATGTCTTCACCTGTGTAGACTTCATTTTTTGCACACGGGTGATTGGAATTAATGGTGAATGTTTAAGTGAAAACATTTATTACACTAAAATAAATTTATTGCATTGCACATGGCCATGAATCCCCTCAGAATCCTCCTTTCACTTGAACACACTAATCCCATTGTTCTTTCTCCTGCAGAGTAGCTCTAGAAGTCTTTCTCTTTTTTTAGATGTTATCAAAAATACAGTGAATGCTGCTGCGAAGTGCCATTCAATGGAATGGCAGGCCTGTAAAAACCATGGCACAGCCTCATCCACCTCTTTTTTTCTGGCTCTTCCCAAGGTTAAGATGACCATGAAAGGTAAACATTCTGAGTCGATCTGGACTCAGAGGCAGCCAGGATGGTGCCAATAAAGACAGTCACAAAAGAAGACTTCCAAAATTGCTTTAGAAAGTGTCAAGAATGATGATGTGTTTGAACCAAGGGGCAGTCATGTGAGTGAGATTAATGGTGATGGGTCTTCTATGGCAATACATTTAAAAAACATACGCATTCATTCTAGTTTTCATTCATGCTTTAAGACATGCGTACTGTTATTTGTTTGCCTGCGTCTGTGCCCGCTCTGGCCGCTGTAATTACTGACACTAACTCTTCCCAGTGAGACTTTTCTGCTGTGCATGGATGTCTAAGGATGCTGTTACACTCTGTTGATCTTGATTCTACCTCTATGTCAAGCCCACAATTTCAATTATGAAACCTCCCACTCTCTGGTAGGATGAATACTCTTTTTCCTCTTCTTTTCTTCTCTAAATCTTTACATCTTATTCAGTAAACTACACTGTCTGTTATGGTTCCTTTTTATTCCACAGGAAATTTGGGATCATCCTGATGTATTCTACCAAAAACACTGCAGTGACTATTTGAACACTGGCTTTGTTTTGATAAGACCTGAGCACATCGCAGTTTAACGTGCTCTTCTTGAGCAACTGGGCTGATGTCTTATGTCCTCTGTGTATACCTTGTTCCTATCACTCAATATGGAACCTTCTATCATCTCAGCCTTTGCCCCCATCCTTCCCTCTGTCCCTGTCAGGCTGGGCCTGGCTTTCCTGAACTTTCCAGAATGTAATAATAATCACTTGCTCTGTGTGCCTGGCTTCTGCCCTGCAGGATGCTATTGTGTCTGTGTGGCTGCCTTGGTCTACGCTATTTGTTGTTGTAGCTGAGCAGCATCCTGTTGGGGCCCCGCCAGCAGGATTTGTTCCTCCACCCCATCCACGGGCACTTAGCTTACTGCTTATCTGTGACCACTGCACATAGGGCTCAGGGAATATCCCCGCATGGTCTGTGTGTAGACATGCATCCGTCTCCCCTGGGCAAGTGCGGCTAGCTGTGGGAAGGCCTGCTGACAGGGCGAGTGATGCCTGACTTCCCAAGAACCCTCTGAGAGCTCCACACAGTGGCCAGGTGGCACCACGCTGCCCACACCAGGGTTCTAGTTCTTTGGTGTCCTGAACAACACTCGCTAAATTTTAGTCAAATGTTAGAATGCTATCTCGTGGAGCTCTTCCTTGGCATCCTCCTGATTATCAATAATACTAACCATTATTTTCAAGTGCTTATTTGCCTTCTGTGTATTTGTGTTTCTGTTTTTTTTTTTTGTATTTATGGTTTTGAGATGGACTCTTGCTATGTTTTTCGGGGTACCCTCAAAGTCCTGGGCTCAGGTGAGCGTCCTGGCTCTGCCTCTGAGGAGCTGACTCTGAGTGTACACTGCGCTGGCCTCTGCGTGTCTTCAGTGATAGAACTTGAATGTATATGTTAAGTATTTTCACCCACTTGGGGCTAAATTGTCTTCTTAAGTGCTCTTTACACAGATGATTTGCAATCGTTTCCCCCCAGCCAGTCACTTATCTTTTCATTCTCTTAAAATTATCTCTTGAGAAGCAAATGTCTTACACTGTATATTGTCCAACTTGTCAATTTACTTTTTTGAGAGGCCACATGTTTGGTGCAGCATCCAAGCTACGCACATCCACCCCACAGTCACACCATTTCCTCCTGTGAACTTTATTTATTTATTATTTTTTGCAGTACCAGGGATTGAACTCAAGACCTGTGCTTGCCAGGCAGGCGCTTATGCGGCTGAGATATCTCCCTGGCCCTCTCCTGTGTACTTTAAACATGTGTTTTTCAGGCCTGTAATCAGGAAACCTGTAAAACAATAATGCTAGAAGTTTGATAGGAGGGTCTTCAAGTAGTCCTCTCTCAACAGAGAAAAATTAGAATTTGTTAGTATTTACTAGGGTTAAGACACCAGTTTAGTTCTGAGAGTAACTAAAAAATAATGACGGTTTGAAAAGGACAATGTATCAACAGGGCTCTGGAGGGAGACCCGAGGCCAGGTCCTGCTTCTACCACTTCCTTCTGTGCAATCTCAGATAAGCCACTTAGCCTGTTTCCTCTAGTGTTCCAGTTGTAATCCCAGATTGCAGTTCCATAATGATTTAAAAAAATTGCAGAGAAGCTCCCAAAGAGCCTTGCCTTACCCAGGATCGTTAGTTTTCTCTTCCATCCTAAATCCCTAGAACCTCACAGGTGGCCCATGAACACCCAGGAGTGACTGTGCCACACACAGACTGGCCTTAGGAAGGTGACACCGCCGCTCACCCCCAACCTTGAGGGCATGTTCCGTGAGTGAGTAGGACTTTCACAGTGCGGAGCAAAGTCATTTTTATTGTAATGAAAATTTCAGAGGCAGTTACATTAGTTAGACATATACACAGCGACTTAATAACTGTTAGTCATGGAGAACATTCAAGAAATACAAACGATGATTTATCCACAGCACAGTTCACACCCATAAGAAGAAAGGTTAAGAGAGACGATTAAGTGCTTGGTGTCCACTGAAGCCTGCTTGTGAGAACTTTTTCTTTTCTTTAAGGAAGCTGATTGTTACACGAAGCAAGCTGCTCTGTTCCTGGCCAGCCTGTTAAACCTCGGTTTTGCTAGGTGGAGTCCTCTGGGCTTTGGCTGCCTGCTGGACCGCGAAGCAGCTCCAGCCACGAGACCCAGGTGTGCGAAGTGTGAAAATGTGCACACGCCCTGCGTGGTAACTCATCCAGGCCCTCCAGAGCCCAGGGGGCAATGAAGACAGACAGAAGGTCTCATGGATCCTGATGGCCAGGAGCTGGTGAGGATGGGGAATCTGGACCCCTGGCATCCTACCCAGCTCCTTTCTGAAGAGCACATCAGTTCTATCACTGGCACCTGGTTGGTTCCTGTTTAAGTGACAGGCGGTGACTATTCGGAGCAGGCGACCCTGATGGGTGAGCACGCACGGCTCTCGCACGGCTCACAGCTGCCCCTTGTGTACACGATAGCGAGCCTCCCTTGCTGTCCAGGTCCTGCCTCCTAAGCCAGGCTGGCTGGAGTGCTGATGCCCACTAACATGGCTAACCTGGGGACACACAGTTACAGTAGAGACACAGCAGACTTAAGTGTCCCAGTGTGAGCTGTTAGGGACTGGTACTCCCCCCACCACACACACACACACTTTACACTGTTCTCTATTCATGAAATAACCAGAGGGCTGAACTTGATGTGTTGGGAAGTAGAGACATGGCCCCTGCCACAGCCTCTCGCCCCCTGAACAGAGCTAACAAGAAAGCCAAGGCAGAGGGACGACTCAGGCAGAATGTTCTAAACTCATCTCAGCCACCATCACTGGCTGGTCCTGGTATGTGCTCTTGCCAATGGCAGCTATAGGAAGCCAGGAGCCTCCCCTTCCATCTGGCAAAGGCCTATTCCTGGCAGGAGGGGACCTTGCTCCTGGGCCAGTGGGATGGTGTGGGGGTGATTTTGTTTTTTTTCAAATTTCATGTATTTGGTACAGGGTCTCACTATGCAGCTCAAGCCTCACAGTGATCCTCTTGTTTCGGCTTCCCAGTGCTGGGATTATGGGCGTGCACCACCACACCTGGGCTTAGTGGCTGGCCTGGCTTCCCTGGGGCAGGGCTGGCAGGCATGTGATACTAAGGATTGAACCTGGGTCTTTGTACTTGCCTAGGCAGGTACTTACACCACTGAACTATCTTTGCAGCCTAGTGGCAGGGGGTTCTTTCCCAAACCAGGACACCAAGCCTGCAGTTCAGAGCTGTGCTCTTCCCCCTTGTGTCTCAGGGACCCTGTGGGCTCCACTCAGTCCTGGATTGCTCCTTATCACCACTTGTCTACTTTCTTACTGTTTATAGGACAGCAAAATGCAGAGTGGGGGACAGAAAAGACATAGGGTTCACACCTGCCATCAGACCCCAACCAGTCATCACTGCCCTCCCAGGTCAAGGTGGAGAGAGTAGGTAGCCCTCGGGGTCATGGCTCCCCTCCTCAGGCTATAAACTCAGGCCCAGGCACCCTGAACTCCTGCTGAGGTCTGAGGCACAGGTGGGTGGCAGCCTGAGCAGCTCCTCCCTGCTGCTTACAGATCCCTCAGGCCCAGCATGGACCAGCAGGGCAGCAGCACCACTGGCTGCTCTCTGGCACCACCCAAATGTCCTCTACTATACAGAGGCCAAAATGAACCTCCAAGCCACAAGCTAAAGGCCACACGAAATCTATTTCTCACCGAGAACACTCTTTGCTCCAAAGGCTGTTTTTGTGCCTTTTTTTTTTCTTTTTTTTTTTTTAGGGGAGAAAGGTTACACTCACTGCCCAGAGCAATTCCAAGGCTTCCAGGTACTGACACAATGCCAACAGGCACCAGGATCCTGAGCTGGGGCTGCCTACGGTGACTCTATTTCCCCAGAGGCAAGAACTCCTTTGAGGATGGAGCAAACATGTGTGTCTATACTCTGGACCCTGTCATCGCTATCCACACGAGGACACAGAGCTGCTCTAGAGACTGCAGCGCCAGGTTTGGTTAATCTCAGAACCAGGACCACAGAAGGCCAGGTGCTAGGGCAGGGCATCCTCATGGGAAGGCTGGCTTTTGACAGCTTAGAGTCCAGGCACCAGGCAGAGCTCCTCCCTGCACCTGGGGCTTCCTCCACTCACTCTTTCCCTAACCTCAGAGACCTGTGACAGGGACACAGTACTGTACAGTGTCTGTAGGGGCCCTGGGAGGGGCCCCAGGGCTTTTCCAAGGGTGGCCCCTCTCACCCATGTGGGCATCAGTAGGCTGAGAGGCTGGGGGGCGGGAGAAGGAGGTGACTGGTGGGAAAAGAAGCAAACGAAGGAGGCAGAGACAGCAGGGCCTGTGAAAATGAAACACCGCAAGCCAGGGCCCTCAGGCTCAGCAGGCAGTAGGCAGGGGCGTCTGGAAATCCGCTGGTACTCCTGTTCTGAGACTGCTGAGTGTTCAGGGCCTGGGGATTGTGTGGTAGGAACAGAGCTGAAAGCAGAGCTGGAGCCAAGTCCTCTGCCTCGCTAGCCTGCACTGTATCCCTCTGGAGGACAGACCATGGGCCAGCGGGGGAGGGAGGCTCTCCCTATAGGAGCTGCCCCGCCCACTCCAGGGCATGGCCCAAGATGCCAGGCATCCTGTCCCTGCCATTGGTGAGAGAAGACTGTGGCCCCCAGGCTCTGAGAGGAGGAAAGGGCTGCTCCCCCAGCACAGAGGAGCTTGGATCTGAAGCCCGGGCCCAGCCTAAAGCACTGACCCTGCTCACAATGAGCAGGTCCCCAGCCTCAGCTTCTGCTGACACAGTGGAAGGGCCAGCCTGTCAGCTGTCTCCCTGCCAGCCTTGCATCAGCACTGTTGGTGAGAGCAGGGACACAGGCGGTGCACCCTGGCGCTCACACTCACCGTGGTCTGGACTCGACACACGCACTCTGGCCACACACGACAGAACGAGATACGACACACCCATTAGGATAGACAGTTCACATCTCACCACACAAAGCACAAACATACACGTCACAACAGGCTCACTGGCGCAGCAGCAGGTAGTGGGCCTCCCTGGGTCCCCAGGCTCCTCAGCTCCAGGGCGTGATAAAAGGCCCCGATCTCGCCTGCCTCTTACCGGACCCTGGCCACCAGCCAGCAGCTGTGAAAAGCAAGCAGAAGCCAGACCCTGGCGTCCCAGGACGGGCTGCTACTGCTCTGGGCATCAAGTGAGCTTCTCACGGTGCACACCGCCTACCAAGGGGATATTTGTAGCTGAATCTGAGGGCCCGAGAGCACATACAGATAAAATACAATAAATACAGCCAAGCCCCAGACACCCAGCAGGGCCCTGGTCAGTAGCGACGGAGAAGCCACAGCTGTGGTGAGAGCAGAACAGTGCCATGGCTGGGAAGCACAGGAGTTGGCGCACTGCAGTAGGATCCTGTGGCAGGGCAAGCTGGGTGTGGACGTCGCAGCATGGTGGCCCTGTACAGGGGGCCTCACTCTGCCCCACAGCTACTCAGAAAAGGGCGGGAACATGCCTAGGTCAGCAAAGTCCTCGATGTTATAGTTGCCAGTCCCTTGGGTCGGGTCTCCTGGCATGGGCAGCATGTCCTGCAGAAGAAAAGAAAGCAAGCCACAGGGGTCAGCGTCTTCCCCCTGAAAACCAGGCACATCCCCAAGCCCCACCCACCACTCACCCTCGAAGCTACCTCTCTAGCAGATGGCAGGGAAAACTCCCAGCCTGCATGGTCAGGTCCCTGAGGGGGACTGTTTTCCTGGGGCTGGAGGGCCAGCAGGTGGATCACTGAGGGACACACCTTTGTCCTCTGACACTGGGCCCAGGAACAAGGTGATCAGGAAAGACCCAGCCCCAAACCTTGCAAACAGCAAGATAACAACAGAATGCAATGGCAGACAGACAGAGCAGGAGCACAGAGATCTCAGGGACAAGGGCACGTCCCGGGGGTCAGGCTCAAGCTCCCCAAGTCCTGCAGGTGCACTGGACACAAAACTACCTTCTAGAAAACAGGAGTGGCAATTCCCAATGTCTCATTGGGTATTCAGTCAAAGCCCAGCTCCTGTGAAGGTTTGTGAGAAAAGAATTCTGTGGACAAATAAGTTTGGAACACAAATTTGGTTGGCCTCTGAGAGCTCCAGTTTTCACAGGGCTAATAAAGGTTCTGATGTGTTCTGCAAGAAAGAAACTGAGTAACTATTTAACCAGTGTCTCATAAACTTATTTGACCAAGAATGCGTTTTAGCCTGGTGACCCTGATTAGGAAATCCTGCCCAGTGGGACCTCATGGGAGGAGGTTGGAGTCCCAGCTGTGCAGGGGAGGAGCCAGGGGCTGGGCTAGGGCTCTGGCTACTGAAGAGGGTGTTGCCCTGGTAGGGCCCTGAGGGACACCTGGCTCTGGACCTTCCTCTGTGGCGATGCTTCTAGCCCCAGCCTCAGGGCAGCTCAGGATGAGGATGAGGCAACTGAGGCACAGACCCACAGGAAGGAGGAAGTGATCTGAGAGGCTCCGGCTTGGTCACTCCCTTGTCTTTCCTTGCATAGAGTTGTAGCACTGCAGTGGAGGGTCACTGGGCTCACAGCCTGCCCTGAGCCTCGAGGGAAAGTGTACAGGAGCCAAAGAACTAGGGGTGGAGGTCAGTACCCACCTGCTGCCTCAGACTGTCCTAGGCACAGAGGAAACCAGGCCTGTCTCAAACAGTGGCCACCCTGTACCTAACCCCAACAGGAGCCAAGCCAGGGCTTGCTGGCTGTCCTGGGCACAGTGGTGAGGGCAGTAGGGCAGCACAGCCCATCTAGCTGAGGCACTCCTGCTCCAGACCTGGTGCACATGCTTGGGCCAGGCCCTCAGCCTCTGCTCCATGCCCTCCAGGTAGCCCTGGTGCTGCCCCAGTGCTAGGGAGGGTCTCCCAGTGTGGCCTCCCCTGCATGTCGCCCACAGGCACCTGCAGGCCCTTCTACTCCTGCCTCCCTCTAGCCCAGGGTGGCCAGAATGCACGCTGGCTCACTAGGGGCAGGCAGGTGGCGTGCAGCAGGAGAGGGGGAAAGGAAGCAGAGAGAAGGCGCCTGTACCTAGGAGAAGGCGGTGCTGGCTCGATTTACCTGGAACACTTCAGTCTGGCCGGGCTGCTGGTGGGGGTGCTGCTCACCACTCTGCTGCCCGTGGTGCTGGCTCTGCCACTGTGACCAGACCTCGGAGGGCCGCCCCTGGAACTGCCCGCTGCTCTGTCCACTCTCAGCTGAAAGAGCCGATGCACAGGACACTGCCTTAAAAGCCACCCCTAGGTTAGTGACACCAAAGAGCCACCCCTGGGTCCCAGAGCCCAGCTGGACCCCACTTCCTGCAACCTAGAGTGCCCCCCACTGCTGGGGCACAGAGGTTCCCCACCCACCCCACTCCTGAAGGCCCAGTCCCTCCAGAGCAGCCGTCCCACCTACCCTGACTGAGAGACATGAGCAAGGAGTCCTGGACACTAGGACACACGTGGGGTCCACAGGGGACTCAAGAGGCCCCCTTCTCACAGGCAGCCCTGCCCTCCAGACACTCTGCCCTGCGACTCTCTCCAGGCACCCCTGCCTAGCATGGGTCCCCTGGGGTTCCTGATAACAACCAGTCTCACATGGCCCCTCCCCCCAGCTGGGCCACCCAGCACCCCCCAGGCCCTGCTGAGGCCCCACCACTCCTCTCCTGCCCAGCTCTGGCCAAAGCTTCTCAGGTGCCTATGAGGGAAAAAGCAGGTACCACTCAGAGGGAAGATGAACTCCTTGTGAGAAAGGTTTGCTTCCCTCTACAGTTTATGAAAACTGCCCAAATAAAACAAAAGAAAATAGGAGAAATAAGTAAAATCTGGTTAAAAATATCTCTGAGATTCAACCAAAAAGAATTCTTAAGGAAAAATGACTGCCTTTAGGGAGGATATGGTGAGGCACATCAAACACCCTAGGAACTTTTCCCAATTTTTCCTTTTAAATCACTAGCCAGTGCTGATTACCCAGTGTTCATCAGTAAGGAGGTGGGCTCCACATCCTGCCAGGTCTTCCCCTTCCCAGAGCCAAGCCAATCACAAGCAAATCTTTCCCATGGCCCTGCTGCCCACTGTGGTGAGATGAGGCTGGAAGTGCTCAGGAGCAGTCAATCCCCACCCCCCAACACACATACTGCCTGAGACATGAAGGGCTTTAATACAGGGAACGCATGTTCCCAAGTAAACCCCTTGATGATGAGAACAGCCAGCAGAGTTCTGTGAAATGCAGGGGGTGTACCATCCCCCTGCTGCAGCCTGAGCCTCGAGGCTCCCTGTGCCCACAGGCTTTTGCTGCAGAACCAGCCCCAGTGGCAGGCACCAAAAGGCTTTGTCTGGATCAGTGACTTCTCTGATGAGATACCAAGTGTGACCTTCAGAATGACCTCCCAGTGACCGCGGTGCTGACGGATACGGTGGGGCGGTGAAGCATACACAGGTTTCCTTCTGGAATGAGCCCGGTGGTCTCTGACATACAAAGGCTATGTGTGGAGTCGCTTGAGCTGGGTTCCTTGGGGCGCAGCTCTTGGGCAAAACCTAGACTGCTGCAGCTGTGTTGAACGCTTGGGTCACCAGCCAGGCTGCATGTCTTTCTAGATTGTTTTCCGGCAGGCTTCACCTGAGCCAGCGGGGTGGGCCCCCAGAACGTGGGCCAGAAGCCTGACGGGCTTGTGCTTCTCTATGTCGTAGATGCAGGGATGACACCTTCTTTTCTTTTGACTGAAGTTTGATCCTATAATGTCATTCTTGGTAAGTAACATTTTCCCTTAGCTGACTTAGATATTACCCGAAGACTCAAGGGTCATTTGCAATCCTGCTCAGAAGTGGCTTTGGGATTGGATTCAGCTGTTTCTCTGTCAGGAGTGACTGTGCTAGCCCCAGGGGACATGTGGAAATGGGTACATTTTTTATTATTCTCAATAGTAGAACGCAAGTGGATAGAGGCCGAGCCTGCTGCTAAACACCTTACAATAAAGACAATGCCCTTCCCATCAAAGCATGATTCAGCCCCCAAATCTACAGCACAGAGGCTAGGATGAAGTCAACAGAGAACATCAAAGGGTAGCTCATTCCCTTACAAATGCCTTCTGGGCCCCTCTTAACGAAGACCACAATTCCACAGCCTTCCTGGCTAGACCTCTCCTTCCCAGCCCTAACCAGTAGGACAAAGAGGTCTCCTCTGCAAATGTTTCAAGCTATCAGAACCTGTCCTCTCTTTCCCTAAACTCATCCTCCCCTATTCCTCCTCCCTTGTTCCTTTCCAATTACGCATTGTAATTCTCACCAAGAAAGTGGCCAGACACATTCCTTATATTTGCCTCTGAAGTCAGTCTGGCCAGGTGGGGCTGGCCAGGTGGGGCTGCCAGGTGGAGCTGGCCAGGTGGGGCTGCCAGGTGGGGCTGGCCAGGTGAGGCTGCCAGGTGGGGCTGGCCAAGTGGGACAGACCAAGCAGATATGGTTCTCTAAGGAAGGGCCACATCATGATGTTTCTTGCTCTTTCGGTTCATCTGCTGTGGTCTGACTTGATGTGTGTCATGCGTGAATGAGCTGCTTCAGCTACTTTGTCCTGAACTGAAAGGCATGACTAGAAGGGCAAGGACACGTCTGCGCTTGTTGGTATCTGGAAGCCAGCAAGCTGCTAAGAAAGCACTAGCTGAGGAATGAAAACCCAGCCTCTGCCACACCTTGCAGCCACTTTTGTGTCCAAGACTTTGGTGCTTGGTTCCCTGCATTTTTATGAGAAACAGGATACTGACAAGCAGATGAGACAGAGAGGCTGACAACTGGGGACACAGACCAAATACAATGGCTATCAGCTTCTTGCCACATGGCTCTGAGTCCTCCTTCCCTTCCCTTGGGATCCTGTAAACCAGCGACTCCCAAAACCTTCTGACACCAGGGACCAGCTTTGTAGAAGATGACTTTTCTATGATGGGGTTAGGTGATTTGGGATGACTCAGGCACATGACATTTATTGTACACTTCATTTCTATTATTATTCCATTGCAGTATATATAGCACTGTCTTCTGACCTTTGTTGTAGAGCTTTGGTGCACTTATAACCTTAGCACCTACTGAAATTCAGGTGCAAATCTACAAAGTTTGAATTTATCCAGTTGTGCCTGGCTTGGGTCTGGCTGCTATGCTCAGCTCCTTCCTGCTGCAGCCCTTGGGAGTGAACCTGTTGTGCCCCTCTGGCAAAGTGTTCTGCTCCTGGACTAACTGGGTGGTTCTGTCCCCTACTTTCTCTGCAGGGACTGCAGCTGCAGAGTTTCATCCCAGGCCTGTATGCCAGGCCTGGAGCTGGGTCTGAAGTGGACAAGGGGACGTAGGGGGGAAAGGAAGCTCTCCCACACACTCACCGGGCCTGGGCTAGGGCTGGATCTGGGGGTCCCGAGAACACGGCAGAAGTTCTCACTCACTTGGCGGGTATGCGGGGGGTGCTGCAGAGTGGTGTGTGTGGGGCCCCAAGGGCGTGGAAGAGGGTCTCACTCACGGTGTGCCTGGGTTCGGACCGGACAGGTCCCGCTCTTGTGGGCACAGGGTAGCCGGAAGCTCTCCCACACCTTACATTGTAGTATATAATAAAATAATTATGTAGTTCAGCCATAGTGTGGGGTCAGTGAAAGCCCTGACTTGTTTCCCAGCATCTAGATGCTCTCCTCTGGGGGTGATGGAATGCAGTGACACCTGAAGCGTTGCTGATGTCCAGTCTAAGCTCCCTTTGGTCACTGTCACTGCAGAAAACCCTGCTTCACAAAGATAGGATGTTAGAAATCAAAGCAGACTTTTCAGTGATTTTTTTGGCAATCTCAGGATACTTTTTCTTGGATTTAATCCAAAAACCATGCAGGTTTGAAGTTATCACAAACACTGTTAAGGACACATTCATTTTTATCTCAAGCAGTCGATCCTCTTTCAGCATAAATGAAATCGATCCACTTGGCTTACTGATAAATGGGTTGCTGCCCCTTCCTTCGCAGGTCGAGGTCTTCTGCGCTTAGGAAGTAAGGCTGATGCTATTTTGAGAGCTGAGATAGGTGATCATACACTGTCTGAGAGAAAGAAGTGTCTGGCTCAGTCTCTTTCAAAAATCTCTGCTAATGTTTGAAAATGTCAAAATCCCACGGTTCACGCTCCAGACCCACAATTCCAGTATGGCTCTGACTGCATCTACTTTATCGCTGACCTGAACACAGCTTCATTCTCCCCCGAAGCAACAGGGGAGAATGAAGTTCACCGAGCAGGTTAAATGTCACATCTTGTAGGTATGTCTTGTGTTACTGAAATATGTCACCAGTGGTGACTGTTTTTCTAGAAGAAATCTCCGGAGTGGCTCTCCTGATTCAGAAACCATAACCAGTGATCCGCCTTGGGGAAGCCAGTGGGTATACGGCAGCCATGCGTGCACTGCAGGCCTCTCCTCACGGAACTGCGTAAACTGACATTAACACTATGTACTTCATGAATATGTTGATAATTTCAGTCATGTCCTCCAAAACATACAGAGTTCAGATGGCATTTTTCAGGTAGCCAGCATTTCTCTAGGGATGACACAGTATATAAACTCACATTCAGAAGCAACCTCCTTTTTTCCCTTTTGAGACAGGGTCTCACTATGTAATATAGGCTGGGCTTAAACTCAAGCACATAGCCCAGGCTGGCCTCAAACTCATGGCAATCCTCCTGGCTCTTCCTCCAGAGTGCTGGGATTGCAGGCATGTACCATGTTGCCAGAAGCAACCTCTCTGACCCGAGGAGTGAAACTGTCCAGTCATGGCAGCTGCTTCTTCCATACATATATCAACACAAAATGACCAAGTCACTTTTCCTGATATGTGATCATTCAAAGACATGAATAGCTTTGCAGCCATGGTTTTGGAGGCAATAGAAGTACGCACAACTTATCTCTACATACCTCCTCCTGAAAAGTATATTGCACAGCAAAGCATTGTTTCTTTGTCATTAAGAATTTAAATTGGGAGCTTGTGAGATAGCTCAGTGATCTAAGTGCCTCCCTGGAAAGCATAAGGACCTGAGTTTGATCCCCAGTATCACATGCCATGCCAGCCCCAGAACCCCAGGCACACTGTACAGTCCCTGAAACCGGGTGTGTTGGTGCACACCTATAATCCCAGAACTGGGGAGGCTGTGAAAGGAGGATCACTATGAGTCCGAGCTGTGTAGTGAGATCCTGTATCAAATAGATCATTGTAAAAAAATAAAAATAATTTAAAAAATTTAAATTGGTAGATTCATCAACCTAGAACTTATACCACGGTAACTCAAGATCCTCTGCCATTTCATCAAGTTGTCCAGTTATGGCACTAGACAAAAAAGAAACACGCACCACCTTTTAAACTGCAGCCTGGCCCAAAAGTTCATGACGAGTGTCCTCAGCAGCAGGCAAGATCACCTCTTCACCAACAGCAAAGGGCTTCTTAACTTAAGCAACGCCGTCAGCCACTAAGAATGAGGCTCGCGGTGCAGACATGCTTGATGAAGCAGTGGCCTTCAGTAACCATCTGTTCCTCATGCTCACATTGATTTGTTTGTTTGTTTGTTTGTTTGTTTATTTATTTATTTTTGGCAGAACTGGGGATTGAACTCAGGCCTTTGCACTTGCCAGGCAAGCGCTTATTCTACTGAGCCATCTCCCCGGCCCCTCACATTTATTTTTTTTCTAAAAACTCTAAGGATTGTTAGTGCAGTGTGCTCAGTCTACAAGTGTATAAGCAGCTTTGAAGCTTTTGTGGCTTCATTGGACAGCCAGCTGCACATACTTCACAAAGCAGGCTTGGAGAATGTAATCCACCTACAGCAGCAAACACATAACTTAAATTGGATTCTTGGTATTTTGTTTTAAATGCAGCTTTTTTTGTTGGTAGACTCGGAGTCTTCTGCTGTCTCATCCTTCCTTTCAAAGTAGCTCCCCAGCACTGCTTATTTTCATTCACTTTGGCTAGGGCTAGCTTGTGGGCTTATCCAAACTGTGACTAAAACAAATGCACAGTTCAGGAAAGAGGCTCTGACGAAAGTGGTAAATAAAATAACAGGCACATTACACAGAGACCAAAAGAAGTGCTGGATTCTGATATAAAGTCTGTCCCGAGAAGCAGCTGTGGAACAGAAGCACAGCAACTCATTTGCCACTACACAGCTTTGCCAGCAGATGCTGCTTAATTGTCACTCTCCACTCACTGGTTAGGGTTTTGATCTGAGTCTGCAAGCACTTGACTTATTATGGTCTCTGTGCAGGCATGCCTCTGCTAATGTTTATCTGGATTTGCAGATGCTCCCCAGTGCTGGCATCACTACCTCAGCTCCACCTCAGATCATCAAGCACTAGATTCTCATAAGGAGCACACACCTAGACCCTTTGCATGTGCAGTGGGGTTAAAGATTCCATGGGAATCTATTGCTGCTGCAGCTGCCACTGATCTGACAAGAAATGGAGCTCAGGTAGTAATCTGAGCAACAGTGAGTGGCTGTACATACAGAGGAACCTTCATTCACTGAACCACTATCCACCTCCTACTGGTCATGCTGGCTCCTAACAGCTCACAGGCTGGTACTGGTCCATGGCTCTAGGGTTGGCGATCCCTGCTGTAAGCACATCTTCTGTGCCATTTTGCAATATAAGGTGCAGTCAGTGGAGGATGTTGGAGAGACCGGCTGGGCACAGCAGAGGAGGAGGCTGCTCCTCCTTAGCCAGGTGGCTGTTGTTTTTAACAGCAGTGGGAAGTTGCTCCAAAGGGCTCACTCTTTACCCTGATTCTCTGCCACAAGAGAGCTGCCTCCTGTGAACCAGTCCACCTGCAGGCACTGTCCTTTTAGCTACAGGTGACTCTGGACTACCTGGTGTGTGATGCCCACAGGTCTGACCACCTGCACCCTCAACAGATCAGCTCAGCCAGTGGGGCAGGTGCCCCTGAGGTCACCCACAGCTGATGCCCCTGCATGGCGTCAGTGATTCCTGGTGGCAGTTGAGCCTTCGCAGTCGAGGCTGAGCTTGCAGGCCTGGGTCTCCTCTTGCAAGGTCCTGCTTCCATCCTTGTGTTCACCCTTCTGCTTAAGGCCTGGAAGCTGCTGTTCACACAGGCTATCCCTGTATTCCTCAGGCTCCTCTTTATCAGCCTTTATTAAACTTCAAGCCACTGGGGTGGTTCCTGTCTGGTGATGCAGCTTGGCAGGCACACACTGTCCCCCTGCATTGTCATGAGGATAAACACCCAAGCTCCCCAGACCAGCAGGTGCATGGTCATGTGATCTCCTACTTCCACTTCTGGATGCCACTCTTCACATGCGCTAGTGTTGGCTGTGACCAGAGTCAAAATGAAAGTGAGGCTAAGGCTGTGACATTGGCTGGCTTACAACCTCAGCAGACCTGAGTGGAGGGAACACTCAGATAAAAAACAGTGCACAGGGCACAGGGGCTCAAGCTCAGGCATGTCCTTTCTATCCTCTGCATGTGAACTCAGGCTGCTGCCAAAGTTCTGGCCCAAGGTAACATCTATGCTCACTGCCCCACAAGGTCACCCCTGGGTGACAGTTGGCAAGGCTGTCCTGACAGGTGAACCCTGCTTGATCAGTCAGCCAAAGCATGAGGCCAGGACTGGTTGCCGGGTCCCTGGGCTCCAGTGCCTCGAGAGGGCGACCAGCTGTACGCACAATAGCCCTGGCGCATGCAGGGTGAGGGCTGGTGCTCACCACCAATGTACACACTACTGTTTTAACAGCTAATTTAACTTTCATGGAATGACGCTTGGTGGTGCCCACATGGTGCCTCTCTGTTCAGCTCCCTGCTGGAGCCCAGCCCCACGGTCCTCTTTCTGAAGCCTTCTTCCCCACCCTGCCTAGGCCCCTGCTGACCCCACGTGGCAGCCTCCTCACTGCCCTGCCCCCTGTCTCTCTGGATGGAGTCTGTGCCTCCCTCTGCCCTCCAGCATCTCCCTCAGGAGAGGTCAGCCACATGCAAGGGCACGCCATGAAGGGCTCCACAGCCCCGTCCTCCCTCTCAGGCTGGCTCCCACCTGTGCATGAGGCCCTCACACTACTTCCGCCAGATTCCCACACAGTGTGAGACTGCAGCACGCTGTCCCATCCTGAGCCCTCTCAGGAGGGCTCCAGCCCCCTCCTCATAATGCAGATGAAGGCTCTGTCAGTTCTGAGCTGGAAAATGACACGAAGTCCCAGGCAGTGCTTGGCACAGTCCCTGATGATCCTGGGCTCCATGCATGTCTACTCTGTGAGGCCTGGTGCCTCGATTTATTTACCTGTGAAATGAGAATGACAATGGGGTTCCTCTCTGAAAGCTACGAGAGTAGAGCATGAATTGAAATGGTTGGGGCAGGAACACCTGGCCACCATGCCTATGGCCAGAATGCCAGGCTCCAGGTACACACGGCTGTACTGGCCTCCCTTGACCTGCTGGTACCTGCCCATCTCTGGGTGTGTACTGTGCCCGTGCCCGCCCTGCTTCCACCCAGGGCCTAGCTTGCATACAGGCCTTGCTGAGTCAGAGTAAGCCAGTGCCAGCAGGACCACTGGAAGCCATGGAACTTCCTCAGAAGGAGGCCAAAGGGGTCCCCCACCCAGGTGAGGGTCTGGCACAGGGCGCATTCTCATGCAGGGTGGAGGAGGCCAACACCTTGGCCTTGGATTCTGTGAGCCAGGGCCTGGCGACCGAGCACTAGGTAGAGGCCTCTTCCTTCCTACAGTGCACCAGGCCTCTCATCTCCACATCACAGAGCCACATGGTAAGGACACGTGGACTGCACACAAGCACTTGTCAGCGACTGGCGCAGGAGGACAGCAGATCCCAGAGGTAAACAGATGGCAGGAAGTGCTGAGCGGAGACCCTGGATGAGGGCAGAAGCACAGCCAGACGCAGGGACGGCAGAGGTAAAGCAACAGAGAATCACTTAAACTGAGCTTACAACTTGCCAAGTGGAACTCAGATGTCCCAGCTGGGTGTCATCAGTGACAGCACTGTGACCCCTTCTGTGGCATGGACTGCTGGCCTGGGAAGAGACGCTGACCCTGAGACATGCCCTGGAGGTGAGGGCATGCATGGGGCCCTCTGCAGCCTGAGGTTTCATTACAAAGCTGAGAATGTTGTTCTCATATACAACACAATCCCTCCCTTGCAATACTGGCTAAGGGGTGTTACAGTGTTATTGACATAGTTGCTAATCTCCATATTCATTGATTTCTGAAACAAGACTTCAGGGTTTTGATTTGGAGACCTGAAATCCCTTGCAAGGGACACAGAGGGGAACACCAGCAGTTAGGTGCCATCAGAACATGGAACAGAGTCCTCATGCCTTGAAAACAATAAATCAAATGACAGGGCTAAGCCTAAGCATCCAGCATCTTGGGAGCATCATGCTCCTCCTCTTCCTGCCCAGAGAGGGACGAGGTGCCCTGAAGCTCAGGACCTCTTCCCTGTATTCTGAAAACACAGACCACCCCTAATGAGGATGCCCAGACAGCATTGTTTGGCTCTCCCAGGAACGAGGCCTTCCCTCCCCACCTACCGAACCCTGGAGTTCTGTTGGCAAGACTGGAGTAGGCGTTGCCACTTGGCGAGGAGGTGGCTGGGCTGGAAAGGGGACTGTAGGAAGACGGGTCCGCCGGGTAGGTATGGCTCGTTCCAATTCCGAAGGGAGATGACTGGGTCTTGCTGGACTGAGAAGGGATTTGCAGCCGTCAGGGTGAAACTTCACCAGTCACCTCCTCCCGCTGTCCCTGGCCACTGCTCCGCAGGTGCCCCAGACAGTGGCAGGGCCTGCTCTGGACCAACTGGGGCTCTTGGGGCTCTCGGGGCTGGCCGGACACAGGCCCTGGACACAAAGGATGAGTCTGGCCATGGTGACCTGGGTTTCCTGGCTCCACCGGTGAATACCACATGCTCCCTCACCCATCAACGCCTGTCCTCCCGCCCAGCAAGGGGCTCAGGTGCATTCTTGTGGGTACATCCTGACCTGCCACATCCTGCCAGCTTCCCCAGGATGAGGCTGCCAGAACCACAGATGATGCCAGTATCAGGGACTCAGCACTCAGCGTCCTTGGGGCAGGTGCTGCTGTTGGGTAGTCAGTTCCCTCCGAGCTGGGGCCCATGGAAATGCATTGAAGTGCTCTGGGCTCTGGGACCCTGGGCCATACCTGTCCTGGGAAGGGCGGACGGCTCCCTGTCCATGCAGCCTGACTCTGGCTCAGCTGCCGGGAGATCTGGGACATGTTCTGGCCCGTCGATGAGGAGGACTGAATGTCATTCACCCCAGGCACGTGAACCACTGAAGAGCTAGAAGAGAGGCAAGCACATCTACCCAGGGGACCTGGAGTATATGTCCCAGCCAAGCCTGCCAGCAGCTGCCCCGGCCCTGCCGGGCACTCCTGCCATGTGCAGTTTGCGTGCTCAGCTTCCTTGTCAGGTCTCATGGCTACTCCTCTGCTCAGCTCCATCCCTTCTTGACACCACTCCCCAGAGTGCACCAGGGCTGCCCTCTCTACCTCATGTCCCCTGATGGCTGCATGTGCCATGTGTGGCATCCCGTGTGGTGCACAGCACATGGCCTGAGTAGGTCCAATCTTAGTCCCGGTCAAGTCTACACTGCTGCTGCCTCCTACAGGACACATTCCCCGCACTGGGGATGGTACCCTCAGCTCACTAAAGATGGAGAGATGGGAAGACCTCTATGTCATCTCAGGCCCTTCCTCCTGCCTCCCTGGAACTGGCCCAGTGCTCCAGGTGCTGGGTGCCAAGCAAGAACCCAGGGGTGTGAGGGTGGGCCCAACCCCAGCAGATCTTAATGCCGGTGGGTATTCAGTAGGGTTTTGAAAGGGAGGCAGGTGACAGACCCATGCAGGTGACTGGGTACAATTTACTGGGTTTTAATATTTCTCTATGTTACCCAATGCTTCTTAAGATCACAAAACAGGGTTAGCTGCTAATGTAGTGAAAAACACCATTCTCGTCCTCTGAAAACCAAGTCTTCACTCAGCACTGGGCTCTTTCCCCGGCCTCCTCCAGATGAATGGAGACTACAGAGGGCATTTTCTCATTACTATTCTTCATAGAGCCTGGCACACCCTGATGCCCTAGGAGCCCTCCCCAAGACACTGACTGATGAGGGCACTGGGCTTTTTCAGAGGATGACTACTGGTGCCCAGCCCTCCAGGTCCCCAGGGCTATATGACACAGACTGGCCTAGGGGACCACAGCAGAAGGTCTTGGGGTGGAGACACACTTAGAGATGCCAGTAGTGCCACTCTGCTAGGAACCCAGACTACCTATGACTAAGACAGGCATGAGAAGCCATCATCCCATGCCCCTCCTGATCCTGAGCCAGCTCAGGTCCTCTGGATTTATAGGAAATTCTGCCCATTCGGTGGGCATTAGCCCTAATAGGCATTTCTCTAACCATCCACTGACCCTGACAGCCAGGGAATCAGGTGATTCCTGACACCTTGCCAGCTGTCCCCAGCACTACCCCCACCCCATAGCTGGAGGCCAGCCCCTTAAGCCCCCCAACCTGGGCACAGCCAGTGCCCCAGGACCCTTGGACTGGCCTGGGGCTGCATAACTAGGACCACTCACTTCCTGGCATGTGCCACCTCAGAGTGGAGTTCTGAGACGCAGGTCTGTCCTGAACCCACCGTCCCCAGTACCTGAAGGCCTTTCCAGAATGTCCAGGAGGGAAGGGGCTCCCCTGGGAATAGATCTGCTGGGCTCCGGCTGCCGAGGCAGAGCTCATCATCTTCTTCTCCGCTAGGAAAACCAGAGTAGGTGTCCCACACAAAGGCCCCTGCCACAGGGCACAGGAGGCCTGCCCAGCCCAGGCCAAGGCTGGGTGTGTGGTATAGGAGGGAGCCCCAGGCTGCTGCTCCTGCCTCCTGGGATAGCCACAGCCACTTGCATGGCAGTCCCTCTACGAGAGCGGGGAAGAGCAGAGACCGTGAAGGGACCTCATTTCAGGTCCCCTTTCCAGCCACAGGTGTAGGTGGACAGGTGAGGATGCCCAGGGCACTGGTCCACAGCACCCAGGATGACTCTCATCCTCATCCTGGATCACTCTTCCTTGCAGATGAAGGTGCCCTGCCCCATGGATATGCTTTTAATCTGCTGCCTCAGTTTCCACCCCCCCCCCAAAAGGAACCCAGGGTGTGAACAGAGTTGAATGCTTAAGAATGAGTGTAGTAACACAGCCAAGAGCATCTAAAGCTGCTCACGACCCAGTGAGGAATGTGTGCGGGAACAAGGACAGACACGGGCCGGGAGGTAGCCCTTCACTATAACATGTAGGCTTGGGGATACATCTGCCCTCCGTCCCCAAATCTCAGAATACCTGCGCCTCTAATCCCTACCACCCCCCGCCTGCGGTACGCAACTGGAGACAGGGTGTAAGGAGCAGCTGCAGGGCGATCTCTGCCTCCAGACTCTGGCCCATTTGTGCCTCTGTCTCGGGGTGCTGCAGCAGCAGGGCAGAGGTGGGTGCTCGGGCTTGGGGCCTTGGGTAGGAAGCCATGCCTGAGCCAGGGCTCCCCCATGTGCACAGCTTCTGGGACAGCTCAGAGCAGAGGGGCCACGGAGCCGCTTCCTGGCCCCTAGCTGTGTTCTATGATGCCGTGAGGCAGTGCAAGTCCTTAGCGACAGAGGTGCCCAGGCTCCTGGACCTGCATCGCCGCTCAGGCCCTGGCCTTCAGCTTTGGGTAAGGAGCAGGAGCAGAGGAGAACACACAAGGCTAGAAACTGCAGGCGGAGGTCGACTTAGGCCACTAAGCCTATTCTTGTTTTCTGTTTTAAGATTCTTGGCAGTTTGGATAAATAATGAATATGGGTTTTCTTACTACTCTAAAACATTGGTCATTAGTAAGGTACAAGACTATGCGTGCATCTGTGTGGTGTGTGTGTGTGCGCGAGCATATGCATCTTTGACTATATTATTCAGTCTTTTTATCTTTATTATTTTGATCTACCTGCTCTGGAAAGATGAAGAAAGGCACACAGAGATGATCTCGTCCAACTTGGCTTTATCAGCGTCTTCCTGTGTTTGCAGTGATTCTGGCTTCCCCGCGTTCCAGGGTTCACGATATTTATACCCTCCTTTTGGGCTGTTCCTTCCACCTGCATGGTGCAATCGCTTACCCACGAGGTGCTGTGAAGACTCCTTCCCTCTGCCCCGGGGTTCACAGAACACCTCCGCGGCCCACTCTGCTTCGCTGGCTCTGCCGCACCCGAGAGCACACCCCCCGCAGGAGCAGCCAACCTGCAGGCCCTGGGCCTCAGCCTGCTTCATCTTGCTTGATAGCCACACTTTCACGCCATCTCATTTTATTTTCCTTCTGGGAATTTTACAATTTGCTAACAATTTCTCTGGAAGTGGTTTGGAAGTAAGGCCTCTTTCTTCCCTGCCTGCCTGCCTCCCTCTTTAAAAAATACTGTCCTCAACAGTTGAGTATAAACATACATGAAGCTCTGAATTTCTCCATAAATGCCAGTGATAATACACACCAACCAGAAATTTGTCTGTTTGCTACCCTCAGTCCAAAAAATATCTGGATCTTTGTTGAACTGATTTGAAATTGCAGCTTTTGTTGTTTATCTTGGCATCATCTAACAATTCCAGGTGCTGTTCACCTTGGGTTCACATAGAAACAAGTGCAACCTCTTATAACTGATGTCTTCAGACAGGACAGGCAGCCAGTGCATGTCTGAAGACGTCTTTCTGTCTAGGAAAGCAGTTTGGCTGGTGAAGAACTCTGGGATTATGTCTTCCTTCTTAGTTCTCTGGATACACTTAGTATCCCAAGGAAGTCTAAGTGTAGAGTTCCCTTCGTGGCTGTTCACAAGGTTTTCCCGATCTGAATCAAAGTTTTAAAAAGTGACTAATCCAATAGACTATATTGAGGTGTGAGTTTCTTGACCTTTTTAGTCAGGCATGCACGGAGCGCTTGCAGTTGGAAGACCCATGTTGTCCTTGGGGGAATTCTTATTTTTTTCTAATTTACTCACTTGGATTTCTGCACCACGGTATCAGCCTGATTTGCCCCATCTCCCCCGTGGGTGACACGTCCTCAAAACGGGACAGTTCCTTCTGGAGTTTCCCGGAGGAGCGATGCTGGGGACTTCCTGAACTTCCTCCTCTTTATTGTAAAATTCATTCTTAAAGAAGGACCTTCACCTGATTGCTCTCCCTGGATTGCTTACCCCTTTCCTCCTTTTCTTCCTGCTTTGTCATTGCTGTCAGAAGACGTGTTCATGTATCAGATTAAAACTTCAGATGGTTCTCAGAGATGCTGTGGCTTACTGCAGGGAGGACAGATGTATCGTGTGCTCCTGTCCCTTCTTGCCGCAGAGATGACACGCTGGCACCTTTGGGTGGTCCGGGACCAGCGGCGGTGAACATCCCTGGCGCACTTTACGCTGAGGGCTCTGCTTCCTGGTGCCAGTTTCTAGTGGTCTGCACTGTGCTGGCCCTTCTTGTCCTCAGCGAGGGGGCACTGGCACTGCTCTTGCATCCTGAGCCTCGGTCCCAGCCCCACGGGATGCAGGCTCTGCTCTCCCACGAGGGTGCACACTTGAGGACAGAGGTGTGTCCAGGCCACAGCCCCCACTGCCCGGTGGCCACCTCACATCTTCATCCTAGAAGGAGAATCGGGGTCCCCTCCAACCACAGCATCGTTTGTGCTTCCTTTTCTCCTACGAGCAGCCCTGCCTAAGGAACCTTCTCACAGAAATGCCTGGACCATGTGCAGATGGATTTTTTTTTTTTGTGACTTTGGAACCAACAAAGGCCTTTGTATATTTCCTACTTTACCAAACTCTGGAGCTCTGGGTGGGAGACTGAGGCAGCCCCACGTGGTGGCACCAGTCCTCTGCAGTGACACTGATGTGATGAACAACCTAACGACAGCCACAGAGGAGCTGCTGGGTGAGTTCTGTCCTCTACACAGTGAAACTCTACGGTGGTAACAAAATGCTTAGGACTGTTTAATGTTGTGGAGATACTTTCATAATAAACTGTCACATAAAAAAGCAAGCTTTTCAACAAGACAAGTTCAATTTTATATACACAAAGAAAACATATATAGAAAGAGACAGAAGGACACACTCTAAAAAGTCAAAAATAATTATACAGGTGGTACGAGAGTGGATCACTGTTGTTTTTCTGTTATTTTGGATTTTAATTTTAAAATGTGGTCTTTTGTTATGGATTAAGTTAGAGTTTTTAATAGGGACACACCTTCGGCTTAATAATAAATGTATACTCATAGTGGATTAGTAGCTAATGCATCCCAATCCCTTAAATTTCAAACATGAGCTGCCAGCACCCCAGGTAACCAGAAAGTAGGAAGTGTGGTCAGAACTGCGGAGAACTCATTCGACCTCCCATGCCTGCGACCTCCTGCCCCTGGACTCTTCCTGCACCCTGCCCAGGTTGCTCTCAACCCCCCTTGTGAACCTCCCCCCAAGAACAACGCTCTTCAGATGGCTGAAGAGCAACCACAAAGCCCACCCCCAGGACCTGAGCCACTCAGAAACTCACAAGCACTGATTCCTGCAAACATCTCAGCAAACCGGGGGTCTCTCTCCTGGGAGAAAATCGCATCTGCCTTTTCCACTGACTTGCCAGCCTCATGAACACCAGCAGGTAGGTTGGGGACTGGGACCTGTTGGCACATTTGAAGAACACCACCAGTGTGTGAGGCAGTTACCACTTTCCTTTGGCAGTGCCCTGTCCTGGGGCTGCCGGCCCGTCCAGCCTGAGTGTTTTCACAAAGTGAGGGCTGTGCTATCTCTGAGTGCAGGGACAGCCAGTCTGAGGTGTACCCTTGTCAAAGGAAGACAGGAGTCACAATAGTTACTTTTTCTTAGAGAAAGATGAATAGAAAAACAGGGAACAGAAAGTATAATTCAAGAAAGAGTTGTTAAATGCTGACTAGTGCCAGTTTCTCTGTTAGTCCAGTTTCAGAAGCTGGGGACAGAAACAGAGAAAGAAAAAAAAAGAAAAGAAAAGAAAAGAAAAGAAAAGAAAAGAAAAGAAAAGAAAAGAAAAGAAAAGGGAGAGAGAAATAAAGGGAAAAGGACAGGTGAGACAGAACAGGAAGTTGAGGAGACACAGTGTGACTTCAAGGGGCACCTGAGGAGAAATGGACACGGGACCCAAGATGGGTGGCACGGGCAGTGGTCAGACCCACTTATCTTGGTCTCTGAGAGTGTGAGTCCCAGAGGCTCAGCAGGGCCTGTGTGACGTCCATAGGCCCCGGGGACCCAGTGCTCCATATAGTGCGGAGGAGAGGGTATACAAGTTCTAGGTAAGAGATAGCTCCATGCAGGACAGAATGTTCCAGAAGCTCACCTGAGACAAGTCATAGGAGGACAGCCCATCTCTCTGGTGTACCTCCAGCTCTGCCTGCTGCTGCTGCAGCTGCCTGTGGAGCAGAAGTAGACAGAGGTGTGAGGAGACAGGGAGAGCCCGGAGCTAGGGCACCAGTCCCCAGGTCACAGTGGGTGGCACCCACCAGCTCTCTCTCCCAAATGGTTTCCACTCTATCTTATTTTTACTGCATCAGACCCCTTTGCTTCGACTGGAGATGACCATGCTAAACTTAAATAGGTTTTGATGTATGACTTCATTTTATGCAGGGTTCATGTTACCGCACTATGAAGAATTCCTTGTAAGGTGAAACTCAGAAACATAGTTAGATTTAATGTGGAACAAAGGAGTTCACTCCTCCAGCTAAGGCTCGCTTGTAACTGGCAGGCAT